ATGCGATGCCTCTTGGTCGTGTCAATATTTCCCCAGCTGTTAATGGGAATTGTAACGCGTGCCAATTAAACATACTTAATGCACTAATGTAAGCCGCACCAGGAGAAGTTGTCAAAGTTACAGACGAGCACCGTAACAACCGTACTGAGTCCGAGCCTAATGCGTTTCTAATACTGCTGTTCTTCATTATTAGCTCTCTTAATGATTTCCCATATTGATGCTGCTATTTTCAGTGGAGCACATCAAGTTTTGATTAATAAAAAGCTATTGTTCGTGGAAAAAGGAAACCCCATAAATTAATCCAACAGTTTCGTTTCTAATCATTTTTTAAGAAGTAAACCATTTTAATTGAAAACGGCTAGTGCCTCTTTGTTTTAGTCTAATATGATCTCTAATACCCTAGTCTCGGAAAATGTGCAGACATTCATTACAATGCATATTATTTAATTATTTTAATTTGCGTTATTTGAATATTAAAATCCATACTTTAAAATTACAATTACTTCTAAATGCTAAATACGGAGGGTACACGCTGTCTTTTAATTCCTTGATTTTAAAATGCAAGCCTATAATATATAGGAGGAATTACAAAGGAGCATGTCTTATTAACTTGGGGTGGAGAAAAAAAGGAGTGAACTAGTAAGGTGAGCGGAACAACGATGCAAAAGGTCAGGAATTAATGAGACTCATTACCTGCGCGAGATAGCGCCTCAGCTTGGCTCCCGCTAACAGCTTCCCCTCACTCCTAAATGCTGTTTTCTTTCCGAATCGAACTGACTCCCAAATGGATCGATTCCCTCTAATTTGAATTGGGAAAGGGCTGGACCAGTCATAAGTGTTCTTGTGGGAGTTGTGCAGCGTGTCATTTCCCAACACGCCCGTATCCCTCATAAATAACTCGAGTTGTGCTTGTAAACAACCAGTTGTAAATGCAGTGCAAACGATGCTGCTACGGCATTGACCGATTAGATACATTTCTGGGAGCTTTTTTTCCCCCCCTCTCTGCATTGCACTGGAAGTCATGGAAGCCTCAGCAGCGTGGGACAGAAAAATCCCGCTTACTAGCCACAGGGGCTGGCAATGGCCACTTGATCCTGTAAACACTGCGAGAGGAAAGGAGGGGAGAGGTGGAGAATGGGGGAGAGGGACTGTGGGTTTAAACCAGCAGCCCCCTCGTTGAGAGAGAGAGAGAGGGAGATAGAGAGAGAGAGAGAGAGAGAGAGGGAGAGAGAGAGAGAGAGAGAGAGAGAGAGAGAGAGAGAGAGAGAGAGAGAGAGAATACTAGGCCTGTTCCCTTTGAAGATGCAGAGTGACACATCCCCAAATGCTCCCAAGTTGCAGTTTGCTCGCCACATGAAGAGTCTGGAAGCAGATCTCCCAGGCAGGGATGGAGCGAAGAAGCCAAGATGCATGCTGGCCTTCAGTATATTGGAAGGCATTTTCACTGCTTGTCACGAGAAACATGCATGAGAGCTGATGCTACAGGCCACAGAGCCTGTGCAGAGACGACCAGTCCCTGCTTTGCCAAAGACGCTAACGCATATTCCTGTCTTAGGTATAAAGACATGGCCATTTCTTTTGTTTGTTTGTGTTATTCATATCCTCACTTAATTCAGCTTATTTTAAGGGCAGGGACGGTACTTTTGTGGCATTAGGCACAGCCAAAAATATCCACAAGATTTCAGACATTGTGTTGATAATTAAAAAGTCATCTTAAAATCATCTATGGTGCTTTTATTTAATATTTTGAATCATAGAAAAATCGTTAGGAAACTGCTGGTCCACTTGTAACAACAGTAAGTGGTAAATGAACAATAAGGGCAAAGTGATGGTTACTCTCACTAGTAAGAAAGCACCAGAGGGTTCCAGTAACAGAATGAGAATGGCATAAAGATCTGCAATTTAAAGGTATACAAACTAAAATGGAAACACCGCCATAATTGGAAAGGGGTATTCTTTTTCACTTATAAATTAAAATGCAGACATGTGTGTTGACAATAATATTAAATGTGTTAATAGACACTAAACACAAACAGGTATGAGGTTTGGCAATAGTGTGCAGCTGGAGACAGCAGAAGAATATGATACTTGGGACTGAAAAATGAATTATTCTGGACACAATCGAAACAGGTATTTACCAATGTGTACCACCAACTGACTATCTTGATTTAAGCATTATAAATGTGTTCAGTTGTAATCCATGCTGATTTCCTGTGATTGTATTTTTGCCACAATCAAGGCAAAATGTATGAGTACATTTATATACTCTAAATTATATAAATATGTATGACACATTCTTACTTGTCTGTGTCCTTGTTTTATTTTGATTAGCTAAAAAATCAAACTAAAAATTAACAGGCTTGAAAAGAAATGTCACTGATACCAATGATCAAAACTAATAGTAACAAATTAAAGAAAAATGTCTGTTATATAACAGTTATGTACAGTGCTTAAAATGGTTTAATTTTACATTTCTGGGTAGATTACCTAATTTTGTATAACAAACTGCTAGAAATTTAAATGAAAAAAATAAATGACCGGTCAACTGTAGAAAATTTGTTAAGGATGGCCATCTCTGAATTAGATCATTTTATTTAGCATAAAGGGTGGGGGTTTACTTGTCTGTTGACGCGTGTTTTGGGATATGTAAGACGGGCCGGGCAGAGCTACAGAATTTCCGCTCTAAGGTGAAACCCAGCTCGTAAATGTGCACAATATTCCACATTATACATGTCATTTCGAAGCGCGTCCAGAATGACGCAGCGCCAAATCTGTATGACAGATTTAGGTGAGAGCCGGCGCTGAAGCCCCACACAGGGGAAGAGTCGCTCTGGGTTGAGAACCCTGCGGGCTCGGGGGAGCCGGCCCGTGCCGCTTGGGTGCCTTTCCTCCCGGCACTCGCGGGGGCGCACAGCCGTGACAGGATTGCCATCTAGCGAGCGCGGCTGCAGTAATGCTATATGTTATGCTGCACAATAACAGTGACAAACGGATATCAGAATCCATATATTTTCACCACAGTAATTATATGAATACTATATTTGATTACACTCCTTCACAAGTGCCGCCACACCACTACGTGACATTAAAAATAATACATTGTTCTAAGAGTAATGATCACTAAAGTATTCCTGAGTCATGGATTTTTTTTATTGTGTTATGGCTCCATCTCTTGACAACGTAGAGTAATAGCTGCGAAGACTCATCGCTAAATTATTTTCACATCCAATAAAGAATTACCACGTACAAAATCCCCAGTGCTGGTCAGTTCCACTTAATGCATTATTATTATTATTATTATTATTATTATTACTACTACTACTACTACTACTACTACAACAACAACTACTACTACAATACAATGTTTGTGTTTTTCACTAATTTAATAGAAAAATGACAATTATTAACAAATTACATATAAAATATCAGAGTTGGGAATGGTCTTACACTGAGAAGTGCTACCATTGCGGCTGAATGTGATTTTAATTCCCATAACTAAAAGATGTGCTCTGTTATAGTATTAAATCTTTAAATTGCCTTTAAAGGGTTGTGTTGTTTTACATATTTAATGATCACTTAATAATTTGGTAACAGTACACTGGGCACAAATATTTAGTATAACTCACTTACTACTGAAGTACAAGTCATGAACAAATATAGTCGCTACTTGAGCTAAAAAATGTGCCACGATTTATTAATAATAAACAAATATGATCAGTATTTCACTTGAGTTATTCATGACTCGTTCCTTCAGTAGTTCTCAAAGGTTTACAGAATTAACAGATATAGTAACAAATATAGTAACTGTTTGAGATAAAAGATATCACAATTAATTAATGATGAATTAACATGAGATCAGTATGTAACTAAGACTTAGTTTGTGGTTAATTAACACATAAGTAATAGCATATTTGTGCCCCATCAAGTAAAGTGCCATCAATAATATTTACTTTAGCAATACCAGATTAAAAATGAATCAGACAATACAATTTTATTGTGCTTTCTGAGCAATAGATGATATATTATCCTGAAGGATATTTCATGCATTTTATTATTATTATCATCATCATCATCATCATTATTATTATTATTAATAATAATAATTAAATAAATAAATAAATAAATAAATAAATAAATAATGCACGCGCATTACTGACGTTTTCTTCGTTTTCTACCTTTCCATAAACACAAATTAGGTCAAGCCTGCCATCCAGTGGGGAAAAAATGTAACTACGTACAATTTTACCTGAATTACCGGAATTCTGAAATAGTGGTAATAATAATAATAATAATAATACTTTAACAGATGTGCATATTTCTGGTAACAGCAGGTAACAGCAACGGTTCTCTTTGAATCCTGGCAAACCCATTACCATAGCAATAAGTTACAAGAATCGAGTTAACAGCTCCTTCAAGTCTGCAGCACATACCATCTGCCCTTTACAGTGAAACACTACAGGCTACAGCTTGGTCTCGTCGGACCACACCGCTTCTCACAGCCTTTCTACACGATCGCCCTCGTCTACCGTAGGCTCTATTCTCATTATACAGCTATGCACTGTACTCGTGTTCTATCTTCAGGTTCACCACACTGACCTCTGTAGCTTTCTCAGAACAGGTTTTAGCTTCCATATACATTGGAAATACTCACCAGGCTTGCTTTGGTCAGATCAGCCTTTTTGTACATCAAATTAATAGATTTAATATATTATTGATCATTTGATGTTGGTGTAAAACTATGATATTATGCCTGTGAAAGTGTATCAGCATAGCCACTTCAGAATCTCTTCTAACCCTAAGCCCAGTATTTGCTACAACCATCCAATCCATCCATGTACTTTTTGATTCGACCAGTACCTCACCACTTATAGCTAATCAATACCTAACTGACTTTCTTAAACTAATTCAATTAAATAATTAATTGAGCTGGATGTTAAATGTAACAAATACACGGAATGGCTGGGGTGCTCCTGAGGAGAGGCTTGGGGACTGAAGCAGTGTTCTTCATACCATCCAAAAGGTTATAGAAACCTCCATAATAAAAAGTTGGATTGTCCTGGATATACTCTGGTCGGACGATAACCACCGCCGCGCCAAATATTCGCGTTTTTGTACAGTGTGCGGTTTGACCTTTTATGCCTACCGTAGTACGGTTACCAAGGGTACGACAGAGCGAGTCCATGACGGGAAGATAATGCGTCTTAAGCCTGAAGTAAAGACGTAGATAACTCTCCAAATAATAATAATAATCAGAAAGACGTAGCCGTTAAGAATAAACCAAGCTGCAATGGCATCTATGTTGGATGCTCTTTGGGAAGACAGGGATGTTAGGTTCGATATTACTGCGCAGTAAGTACCTGAAATCTGTTGTATAGTTACGGATTAAAATATATAGTTCCACAAGAATACCTAGCATGGTTGTTTACAAAGAATATTCTGTTTCCTTGAATGTGTCTCTTGTGCAAGCAATGGTACTGGCAATATATAGAATACTAACTAAATTGCATGATATGTGCTTTAACCCATTTTCAGTAGCTTACAGACATTTGACTCCTTAAATATACTTGAACTGTGGCCTGATATTATAAAAATAACAATAATAAACAATAACACGCAGTGTTAATATAGTCGAAAATGTGTTTGCTTTATTCCTAATACTGTTTCTTGTCGTAAAGGCAAATGAAAACGAGACCAGGCGAAGTGCTTATAGATTGCTTAGATTCTATTGAAGACACCAAAGGAAATAATGGAGACAGAGGTAAGACATTTTAAGAAATACATTAGTCGTGCATTTATGTAAATTTAGTTTCCTTGCCGTACATCATCCGAATTTTTGGATTTTCAGGGAGGCTTCTTGTCACAAATCTGAGAATCATCTGGCACTCTTTGGCTCTACCCAGAGTCAATTTGTGTAAGTAGCACCATCTGTGCCTACACCCCCCCCCCCCCATCAAAAAATACAGCAGTTACTACTTAATCATTCTGACCTTGACAACAGGTTTGACTAGATTGTGGTAAATCAAAATGTCTTGGTTCTGTCCTGATGAGCCCAGTTTCACGTCCAGATTCTGGCAGCAGTTACAAAAAATGGCTATGCAGATCTATTCTAACCACATCCCTTTACTGTATTAGTGGTTATGGATGTCGGATGGATGGATAGAACCAATGTAAATTCTCAAGCCTGAGAAATAAAACACCTTCAAAATAAAAAATCCACTTTAAGTTGAAAAAAATGTCAATGGACAGGTTATTTAAATGCAAATTGCACACATTTTACTGTAACGTGTGAAAAAAGTAACTTTTTTTTTCTTCTTCAGCTGTGGGATACAACTCAATTATTAATATTACCACAAGAACTGCTAATTCAGTAAGTATATGTACCGTATATTTTAACAGAAATGACTTTGGCTCTGGGATTATCTCCCATGTCATTCTCCAAGTTATTCTTCAGATATTTGGGGTTCCTTCTCTACTGCAAACACATGCTATTAACCTAAACTTCCCATAGTGTAGTGTGTGTGCCTTTTAATGGACCGACATCCTGTCTGTGGTTTACTCCTGTCTGAATGCAGCCTGAGATAGGCTCCAAGCCCCATCACCCTGACAGAATAAGAAGTGGATGGATGGATGGATGTATGGATGGATCAATCGATCATTGGATATTTTTCTCTATTCCAGAAACTGAGGGGTCAGACTGAAGCACTGTACATATTAACCAAGAGCAGTAACACCAGGTTTGAGTTTATTTTCACCAGTGTGGTTCCGGGAAGCCCCAGGTTGTTCACGTCCGTCATTGCAGTCCACAGGTACTTTAAATGCAACCCTGCACACCTCTGACTTATGACTTTATAACAGATGATCTGTGGGACCGTAAAGGAAAGTCCGTTTTTTATTGGGGTAAATTTATAGGCAAAAATGGAGCATCTAAAAATTGTCATTTTTCCTTCCTTCAAAGGGCTTATGAAACCTCAAAGATGTACCGTGACTTGAAGTTGAGAGCAGCTCTTATTCATAATAAACAGCTGAGACTTTTGCCACAAGAACAGGTTTATGACAAAATTAACGGAGTGTGGAACTTATCCAGCGACCAGGTATATAAATCATTTTTGCAATTAAATCACATAAGGCACTTGTTTGTAATGTGCCCAGTATTTGACACAGTACTGCACTGCTTACACGTACGCTTATCTTTGATATGAGGCAGTTTAAAAATACCCACAACTCCACGGTAGAGCTGTTGCTGTAGTTCATCTTTGTTCTTTCTAAATCTAACTTTCCCGTCCTTGTTCCACAGCTTCCCCAAACGTCATTTTATGTTGCATATGCTATACAAATCCTTTCTTACTTAGTACTAAACAGAGTTTTTCTGGAAGCAAAATGAACTTTATGTTTGCGCCTAAAAGCTTCTTCTGTCTTTCCTTTAACCTGATAGGGTAACCTGGGAACCTTTTTTATCACAAACGTGCGAATTGTGTGGCACGCCAACATGAACGAGTGTTTCAACGTCAGCATCCCCTACCTGCAGATTGTAAGCCCGATCACCAGTAGCACACGAGTTGTACTGCTTTGGGAGTCTGAATGTACTTTTATTACCTGATTTCATGTAAAACAAAAATGGACAGCAATATTGTTTTTTGCCTTCGTTTTGGTAGTTAGTGTACTTGTGAATGCTTGTACTGTGAAAATATCATCTGTGTTTTTTCTGAAGCGCTCCATCAAGATCAGAGATTCCAAATTTGGCCTGGCGTTAGTGATAGAGAGCTCTCAGCAGGTGAATTTGATCATGTTGTTAATCCATAACGAATGTATTCACCCTTAATATCGGCGTACTGTATTTGTTAATGGACTAACGCCTTCCTTTGGCAAGCTTCTGCTGTGCAGGTCTCAAAGGTGGCCTTAATTTAAACTCAACTAAATACAATGCCACACACCATCGTAATTCAGATGTGCTCTTTTTCCACATCAGATGTAGATCATAATTTGTCTTTTTTTTGCACATTCCTGTTCATTCAGTTGTTGTTCGTATGCATAACTTTATTTTTAATGTATTTTTAACTTTTTTTGTCTTATCTCTTTCGTTTATATCTTAATACAGTATGTGGTATTTAAATATCTTACAAATTTATATTCCATTTCTTACTTTTTTGAATAACGATCTATATTTCATCTCGTTGTATAAGCCATGCATTATAGAGCTGAAGATGACAATAAAGATACTTTGACATTTTTCCTAACGTCTGTATTTTACATTCGTAATTTAGACAGGTGGGTATGTACTTGGTTTCAAGATCGACCCCATAGAGAAACTACAGGATGTGGTGAAAGAGATCAACTCTCTGCACAAGGTTTACTCTGCAAGTCCCATCTTTGGAGTACAGTATGAGATGGAAGAAAAGGTACCTTCTGATCCTTAACTAACCCCACACAAAACACCCCCGTTTTCCCCGTCAACCAGTCTAAATGTACAGATAGAATTTGCTATTTTATTTAAAGTGTCTTTTTTAATTACAAAAGACGTTTTTCTGGTGTCTCACGTTACAATAAGGCTCCCTTTTGCCACTTGTAAATAGTAGTAACTCATTAATTAAAAAGAAAACTGTTATAACTTCTTTAACATTGTCTATCAATAATTTACTAAGTGTTACAACCTAATTAATAACCAGATTATAAACCATTCATAAACTCTTTATATGGGCAGCCTTATTGTAAAGTGGCACCATCTTTCTTGACTTTTGTATAAAAAATTACAGTATTTAATTAAATTGCAAATAAATGTCATTACAATATTTAATTTCTCAACGGGATGATGGAATTAAAGGATTGTTAATTTAAAAGCAAAGGTTTCTTCTGTGGAGCATTTCAGGATAATCCTACAAGCATTATGTCATATTGAGACTGTCACTGTAAGCCCCCATTTCCAGCCTGGTTCCCTTGGCTTTCTCCTACTGGTTCCCTTGACTTTCTCCTACTGGTTCCCTTGACTTTCTCCTACGCCCTCAGCCGCAGCCACTGGAGGAGCTGACAGTGGAGCAGCCTGCCGACGACGTGGAGATCGAGCCAGATGAGCAGACGGATGCTTTCACAGTGAGTGGGCTGTGGCAGCAGGTCTAATGGGAAGACTGCCCTGTCACACTCTCAAAATAGTGGGTTGCTAAAGGATTGTACCACAGCCTGGTACAAACAGAACCACATGTTGCCTGGGTTACACAGTGTTTATGAACAGATTCTGCCTCAGGTGGCTTAGTCACTTTTAACACGTAGATTTGACTTTTGATTAATGCGGTTATTTGTATGACTAAAACCATGACAATGTATTGGGTAAACTGGATGGATGGATGGATGGATGGATGGATAAAACAATTTTTAACTGAATTATTCGAATGGTTTGCTACAGTATGTGAACATGTATACAATGAACATTTCATTTATATACCATATACTCATATATTTCTTCTTTTTTAGGCATACTTTGCAGATGGCCATAAGGTAATATTGATATATGACATGATATTCATGTATGAAATGTCTTTTGTTAACCTCAGCGCTGTCATGTTTGCTACAGAAGTGCTAACTAATGGATTAATGGTGTAAATTTGTTCAAAGCAACAAGACAGAGAAGCAGTGTTCTGTGAAGAGCTTGGACTGGCTATTGAGAAGCTGAAAGAGGGATTTACACTGCAGGGACTCTGGGAAGTCGTGCCTTAAGAACATCATCTGCTTTTCTCTTTTTTGTACTTCTGCTGTCACAGTTTCAGCTCCAAACGTCAAGGCTTTTATTAGTTACTACGTAGGACAGAACGGGAGTCTGCTTGTTTATTTATAATGTATATATGTACAAAGCATTTTGTGATATTGGTACGATAATTAAACGGTTACATTCTGAATATTTCAGTATTTTGAAGGAACGTATATTGTCTCAGTATTGGTGTGTTGTGTTATGCTTGCTTATTTCCTCCTATGTACTGTATTTGTGTCTGTAAATAGCAAATATAAGTACCATTTTAGAACATGAGGAGGGCTGAGTCATTTGTTTGGTTTGGAGTGCTGAGACACGCCCCCCTCCCCCCAGTGAACAATGATCCAGTGGCTATTTAGAAACATGTCTGAGGGATTGACCCGCGTCACAAACTGTTGAAGAGGATTGACTCTCACCTGTTACGATAAGCAGCTGTTCCTTGACCTTGCTTCCAGGCAAGGCCTTGCCTTTGTGTGGGTAGTGAGGTAGTGGGGTAGGGGAGTATTAGCTTTAACTTGGCATGCCTCACATGAGAAGGTTATGAGTCAACTTGGGTTAATTTTTCACCATACCTTTCCTAGTGTTCGAGGGACTAAAATGATTGGATTTGCCTTGGACCAGATCTTTCCCACTTCTGTCATTTCTAATATTGCCATACCTTACAAGTCTGATGTTAGATCCCTTCCTAAACCCACCTACTCATGCCTTACTAGTCATTAATGAACCCAAACACATTTCACATCAAGGTGACTTAAATACTTTACCTTTATCCTTTGCAGTGTAATAATCAATTGTGATACATTTTAAATTACAGTCCCGTACCAATGTTGAACAAAATGAATGAAGTTTGTTTGTCCTCTGCTAATGTACTCACACATTTATTATAGCTACATAGGACAAAATAATGATGACAAAATTTCAGCTCTGTGAGCATCACTAGCTCTGTCGTTGGCAACCATAAAGCTATATTTCCCTGGTGACCCGCTATCACAGTTGCTTCTTTCAGTCTGTTGACAGCTGCATGAGATGGGACTCTTTCAGATTTGGCTAACCTGAATTCCAGGAGGCTGGGGTTGGGGGGCTATTTTTAGAGGAGCAAGATTAAATTGCAGGGGGTTCACCGCAAGCTACGAACGTCGCTCAGCCTTTTCTAGCCGTGACCGTGTGCCGAGAAGTACGACGGCCAGCTCTCCTAGTCCAGGAATGGATCCGAAAAGTATGAAGGAAGATCTACGGCTCTATCAGAGCACTCTGCTCCAGGACGGCCTGAAGGAGCTCCTGAATGAGAACAAATTTGTGGACTGCACCCTCAAAGTGGGTGACCGGAGCTTGCCCTGCCACAGGCTCATCATGGCTGCCTGTAGCCCTTACTTCCGTGAGGTCTTCTTCTCTGAAGATGGCAAGGAAATCAAGGGTACCAATGAAGTGGTTCTTGAGAACGTGGACCCAAATGTCATGGACATGATTGTAAAGTACCTCTATTCCGCAGAAATCGACCTGACAGATGAGAACGTGCAGGAAATTTTTGCTTTGGCAAACCGTTTCCAAATCCCCTCCGTGTTCACTGTGTGTGTAAACTACTTGCAACGGAAGCTTTCTGTCGGAAACTGCCTGGCTATATTCCGATTGGGGCTGGTTCTCAGTTGCCCTCGTTTGGCTGTGGCCGCCCGAGACTACATTGCGGACCGCTTTGAGATCCTTTCCCAAGAGGAGGACTTCCTCCAGCTTGAGCCACATGAGCTCTTTGCCATTATTGGCGGGGATTCGCTGAATGTTGAGAAAGAGGAGTTGGTGTTTGAGTCCCTGATGAACTGGGTCAGGACCGACAAGGAAAAGCGGGTGAAGAACCTAAACGACGCCTTTGACTGTATCCGCTTCCGCCTGCTGTCTGAGAAGTACTTCAAGGAGAAGGTAGAGAAGGATGACATAATCAAGGCAGACCCAGAACTGTTAAAGAAAATCAAGGTCATCAAAGATGCTTTTGTTGGGAAGTTGCCTGCGAAGGAGAAGAAGAAAGGAGAATCTAGTGCAGCGGTAGTAAATGGGGAAGCAGGAGAGGATGAAATGTTGCCAGGTTACCTTAACGACGTCCGAAGGCATGGCATGTACGCCAAGGATTTGATCGTGCTGATCAATGACACCGCTGCGGTGGCCTACGACGCCAGTGATAATGAATGCTTTCTGGCTGCCATGGCAGAGCAGATCCCGAGAAACCATGTCAGTCTGACCTCAAAGAAGAACCATCTCTACATCCTGGGAGGTTTGTTTGTGGACGAGGAGAATAAAGAGATGCCTCTGCAATGCTACTTCTATCAGGTGATGAGTCACATTTTTAACATATTGATGTTCTTTTCTGACACTGTAGGATAAAATTTGATAATTGTGATAATTTGTTTATCTTTGTAGTAACAATGCAAGAACTTTATATTAGGTGTATGTAGCGCTTTGAGGTACTGATTGGAACAAAGTATTTAATGATCCTCAAATCATTCTTTGGCGAATTATTGATTCTACTTTATGCCATTTATGTATTTCCTGCTTTAGACACACATAATTTAACATTTGTCATTAAACATTATAAAATGCTTCTAGCCAAACTAAGTTTTAGGTTTGCCATGCTTGTCCTTACCGGCCAACTCTTCCTGTTGTAGCTGGACAGTCTTGCCTCTGATTGGATCGCCCTGCCGCCAATGCCATCGCCGAGGTGCCTGTTCGGAATGGGACAGTACGGAAACCTGATCTTCGCAGTGGCTGGAAAAGACCTCCAGACCAACGAGTCCCTTGACTCGGTGATGTGCTATGACACTGAGTAAGCATAAATCACCCCCTTTTTTTTACCTTCCATACTGGTAACTTAAGTACTTGACTGTTTATTTGTCATCTACTTGTAAACGCTAAGAAAAATGAAGTGGACCGAGACGAAAAAGCTGCCTCTCCGGATCCACGGACATGCCGTGGTGTCCCAGAATGGGCTCTTATACTGCATCGGTGGAAAGACAGATGACAAGTAAGTCACAGTTTTTAATAACTACACCAAAATCCATATAAGACGACTGGTTCCAAAAAATGAATTTTTCCATTGATCTGCAGCAAAGCCATCAACAAGATGTTCGCATATAATCACAAGCAATCGGAGTGGAGAGAGCTGGCCGCCATGAAAACTCCTAGGGCGATGTTTGGGGCCGTTATTCACAATGGAAAGATTGTGGTGGCCGGAGGCGTCAACGAAGACGGTCTCACCGCCACGTCCGAGGTCTACGACTTTGGAACCAACAAGTATGACATGACATTTTTTGTTTTATCACATTTTCTTTGGTGATAATTCAGTGATATTCTGTCACTTACATCTGGTTGCTGAACTGACATTCATCCAATGCGACTTACATTTTTAACAGCCGAAGCACTTCAGGCTAGACTTGTTCACGGTTACTATAACAATGTCCCAGCCTTCTTGCACTGTGCTACATATTGAAGATGAGTTAGACCTGTGTGGAGGGTGAAATATCACCTCGTCCTTCACACAACTAATGCCAACATGTCATCTCTCTCTTCAGGTGGATCCCCTTCACGGAGTTCCCCCAGGAGAGGAGCTCCGTCAACCTCGTCAGTAGTGGAGGTTCCCTGTATGCTGTTGGAGGTTTCGCCATGATTCAGATGGAGAACAAAGAGTGTGCCCCCACTGAGGTCACAGACATCTGGCAGTAAGCTCTCAAAACTCTTCTACCTCAGGGTTTCTCAAATCGCTCCTTGGGGACCCCCAGACTGTCTATGTTTTTGTTTCTGGGAGCTGGAAGGAGCAAAAATGAGGACTATCTGGCCGGGAGAAGGGAGGTAGCAAAAACATGGATCTGGAGGTGCCCAAGGACCGGGTTGAAAAACACCGTTTTGTCGCATTATAGAAAATGAATGTGTTGCATATAAGTAACCAGCCATCTCTCTTTCATCAGTGTAGTAAAATACTGATCCTTTCATCTCCTGCCAGGTACGAGGAGGACAAGAAGCAGTGGAGCGGGATGCTGAGGGAGCTGCGCTATGCCTCCGGGTCATCCTGCGTCTCCATGCGCCTCAACCCGGCCAAGATGCCCAAGCTCTGATTGGCAGCACCAGCACCTGCTCCTGCAGCCTCTCATTACTGATAGTTTGTCTTTCTGAAGTGGAAATATCCTAACAACTATGACAGATCATTCGACAGGTTTATGAAAGGGAAGGAAAGTCAATTTTAACAAAGTTATCACCTGGAATGTCTCCATAGTTAGCATCTATGTGCCTAAAAAAAATCGAGGCCAATGTTGAACTTTCAGTTTCACCTAGATTGTATTTATGTACTTTTTTTGGTAAACTATTTATAAAGTGTATCTAAACTGCCCGAGTGGAGTAATAGATCAAAGCCGTCTCAACATTTCTGATATTTCTCCCCCTCATACATACACTAAAGAGTGCATAACAATATCATTGATATTTTTATTAAAAATCTATAATGAATATTTAAAAAACTTTACAAGATCGAACACATCATATTACATTATTTTATATCAAAGCTTCTTAAACACTAAATACAGGAAAATACAGTATGAATTCAGATGATGGCGCATGGTACTGGAAGCAACGTGTGAGGTAGCTCCTTGCATTCACAAGTTTTTCAGAAACACTTCATTATAAAATAACCCCAAAAATGCGTATACCTCCAAACACAGCCATGTTCCATTACAGACAATTCTCCAAATTACGTAAAAACAAAACAGACGTAAATGGCCTTTACCAAGGTTTCTTTAATGAAGTACAGATCATTAAAGGTACTATGGCAGCTTAGTAAATATCTTTTTTCTTAGGTAGTCCTTCCAAGCTTCCATGGTAGACAATTCCATGGAGTTCCACTCAAAGTGAGGAATCTGTTTAATGAAAGGACAGAATTAAGACTTGAATATGGAACATTCTGAAAAAAAATGAATGAGATTGTGGGTTATGATTCCGCTCACCTGCAGAATCTGATAGCCCAAAATCTCCAGGTGCCTCTTCCTCATCGTCGTCTCCCCTTTCATGTGACCCGTGTTCCTGCAGAAGGACTTGGAGTCCAGGAAGATCAAAGCAATGCTGCGGAGAAGAAAATCAGCGATCCAAAAGACATTTACCCTTCAAGGTCACTCAAACTCATGTGCTGATGACAGATGGGGGGGGCGGGGCCCCAGGCGTTATTAGCTGACTGAAAATGTCGCACGTTACATACAAGCAAGCTGTTTATAAAGATCTCCTACCGTTGTGCCCCAGGGGATATCTCACTTGTCTCCTTCCACGCAGAGTCCAGCCCCCACTGGACCTTCTCCTCCTCTGTGATCTGTAACTGGTTCTGTTCAGTGTAGGGTACCGGCCGCATGTGCTTGTCCATCACGCACTCAAAATCTGTCAGAATCCACATGGGAGATAAGTAGACACTGTTATACTTATAACAACGACAAGCAGTAAATACTACAGAGCGCAAAATATCACAGGACAATCACCGTCGACACTGAAACTCACTACCAAACCTGCACAACCGGATCAACCGAACAGTGCACATGTTCCACACACACCTACGGTATAGAAGTATGGAGTAGACACGGCCACTTTGGCGTAGTTCATCCCTCCAAAGATCTCTCCCAGCATCTTGTGGATCTGCTGCTGGACTGGACTGATGCCACCATTGCCTAAAGAGAAAATGAACCATATTATACAATATATACCACTTAGGCAACTGTACACAAGTCTACAATGGATTGGCTCAGTAAAGACCAGTATAAAGCCTCAAAACAAACTTTTGCTGGATTTTAAAAAGGGCTGCAGAGTAATTCTCCAGTAGTGGTTCTATCAGCACACCAGCAGAACTAGCAATACCACCCATTTTCCAACCTGGTGAGGGTCCAGGTGATGACCTGGAGCACATTCCAAGCAATGGGGGGGGGGGGGGGGGCAGTAGGACAAGAAGCCAGTCCACTGAAGAACACAAACACACTACAGACAATACAGAGGTCCGGATCAACAACTGACTGCTTCTGAACTATGGGAGGCACACTGTTGATAACTAGTACTACCACGACTTCTAGAAAAGAAAAGCCAGAAATAAATGCCAAAGTACTGTAAGTTGTCCTTTCTCCTAAAATTTCAGTTGTTACTGTTTGTCCGGCTTAGTCTGGACGTGTTGTTACCTTTCCTCTGCATCTGCAGGCAGTAGCGGTGATGGAACCAAGGCACCTGGAACTCGGGGCACTCGAGACACACGGCTCGGTTGAGCTCCATCAGACGCAGGCGGATCCTCATGTTCAGGGCATCGGGCAGTGCTGCCAGGGAAACGCAGGCATGTGACAGTTCGGGACATTTTAATTGGCTACAATTTAGTGTTTCCCAATCCAGTCCTCAGGGCATTTTTGCTCGCTCCCAACTCCCAGAAGGAAGCAAAAATGTGGACTGTCTGACAGGGAGCTGGGAGGAAGCAAAAATGTGAACCGCCTCTGGGTTCTGAAGGACCGGGCTGGGAAACAATGTGGTGCATTTTAACAAAAAATTATTGTTATTATTCTGACCAAAAAAAATGGTTTATCGTACTTTCTAGCTGGGAGTCCAACTTGGCCAAAAAATCCACGTTAAAAATCTCCTTGATCAATTCTTCTGGAAAGTAGTCAGCCAGCGCCAAAGTGTAAGCAATGAGTACCAAGAGGTGGGGGTCAAAAGAACCTGGAGACAATGAAAAGGTGTAAACCCAAGTGTCAACTTAATTCAGCCCTATAATTGTACTTCATCTGTAGCATTTACCAATATGTGGAGTGAATTTCTGGATGCAGGACTCAAAGAAGTCGTCTCCATTTGGTGGATCGTAATTCAACACAGCGAACGGCAGAAGAATGGCGTAAGTCGCTGAATAATGAATCTGCCCAAAATTCAGTGGGGGAGAAAGAAGCACATCAGTCCATGGTATGATTATGGGTTTACATGCTGCAAAATCATTAGTCAGGTGGTGAAGTTGCTCGTTTTGGAAACGGTACCTTATGGATGTTCTCTTTGGTTACGCTGGCGATACGATCCAGAATTGGGGCGAAAACACAGTTGGTTTTGGTCAGGAAGAGGCAAATCTCTGGTAGGTTGCTCACGGAAATCTGGTCCACGAGTCTCTGGAGGGTCAGCATTGTGTCGTCCAGGAGCATCTCCTCAAACCACTCCCCAGAAACGTATTTGAGTTCCTCCAGCAGCAGGTCCAGCTTGTCCGCCATGCGCACCCGCTCCAGCCCACAGCGATTCAGCACCTGCAGCAGGTGCGAGTGCACGCCTGGCGCGCTGTGGCGGTACGTGGGGTCGCCGCGTGACCACTTGATGATGGCTTGGGCAAGGCTGCTGAGCTCGCTGAGGTTACACTGGGGCAAGATGGCGTACACCCGTGAAATCACTGCCTCTTCCAGCCGAGGAGATGACAGCATGGCGAGCACGCGTGTCAGCATGGACACCTCCTGGGGGACGATGCTAACCTGAACGAGGCTAACAAAAGAAAATATATATGAGCTATACCAGCTGACCACTGCTCAGGCCCTTATTGAACCTTCTTGAGTTTCAACTCACCCAACTAGTTTGCTTCTTAACTTAGATAACAACTCTGGGTTCTGGTAATGAAGCATAATCAGGGCCTGGGTGATCCTGGCTATCTCCACGGGTCGATATACATCCAGGTTCTTATGCAACACCGAAGCAATCCTGCAACAATCGAATGCGATGAGAAAGAAAGGCACTAGCAGACATCGCCCAGGCAAAAGAACTGCGACAGCTGCACTGACTTGTTGATCAACGGAAGGTTCCGGCACTGAATTTCCTCCAGGGTCTCTGCCACAGCCAACGCCTGCTGGGCGCTGAACTCTCCAGCCAACAGCAGCGCTGAACTCTCCAACCTAAGAAAAGTGTCAAAAGACTTGTCTTCGTCTCATAAATATTTGTCATGATTACAATGCTGTAGTTATGAATTTCTGTGTGAAGTAATATTGTCATGCTAAATTGAATCTTAGTGGCCAAAAACTAAATGAAATTAAAATTTAACTAAATAAAAAATACATTTTATTTAACATAATTATACCTACCCCTCTCTGGCCTCTTGTCCAGTAATAGGTGCAAGTGCAGCAAAAAACTTGCTGAAGGACAGAGGATCAGAACAAGCATCTGTGTGTTTCATCATCCTCCGTTTTGCAGCCAGGCGGAAGTCACAGCTATTAAACTGTAGGGACTGGTACAGGCCCAGGACAATTCCGATGTCCTCAGCATCCATGATGGGGACGTTGTGGATGAGTATTTTATCACATTTTTCCAGCAGAGGGCGGTAGCAGTACTTGATGTTGCGCAGAAACTGGACGATCCTCCTTGGGTTGCGGAAGAGAGAGGAGTCCATGGTGCCCAGGAGAGAGTCTGCCCTCTCTATGAGTGCATCCCTCAGACGAGGAGAGACTAAAGTAGATATGCTAATCATTAGGTTAGTCAGAACCCTGCAGCAAAGACAAAATAAGATTATGAAAATCTAAAAAGGCCTTTTCATTGTGCAGAGTGCAGACACAAAGTAATTTGTATTAACGAGCTGCAGATGCTCAAATGTCTTCGTTACGTACCTGATATCCTCAATAGAGTCAAGCTTCTGGTTTAAAATCTCAGCAATCTGACCCATCAGGGGACTGCAGTGCAGATGCTGATCACTCAGACAGACAGAGAACTTGGACAGTGTGGCCAGATCAAGTCTGTAAAACAACAGGACGTCATGCAGGTGCCCCTCACACAGTCCATGTGCTGATTATGAAATGCTGGCCTTTACTCACCGATCTAATCTGGTCCATGCTTCTGCAACCAGTTGCTGGATGAGGGAATCGTGGGGTTCCACAGAGAGCCTGCAGATGATAAAGTAAAAGTGTTTGGTAAAATAATTGTCACCTATGCCAGTGTTTCCCAATCAAGTACTTGGGACCCACAGACAGTGGGAGGGAGCAAAAGCATGGACCGACTGTGGGTTCCCGAGGACCGGATTGGGAAATGCTGATCTATGCACATCACAGGATGTGGAATTCATACTGAAATACAAGGCAGACTTAAGCTTGGGTTTACTTTTAATCCTGATCTGTACCTTAACACATCGTACAGCATGTTCACCACTGTGTCGTCATCCATGAGGGAGATCTTGTTCTCCGCTAACACACGGAGTGTGAGGAATTGTGGGTGAGTCCTGACAAACTCCAGCGTGCGGAGCATGTACGGCTTCTCCTTCTGAAACTGCCACAGCATCCCAAGTGCACAGCCCACATGTCCGGCTGACAGTTTGGCCTTGTTCTTGCCCACCACGTCGAACACCTGGTCCTCAGTGGAACATACGCGCAACTGCTCTAAAACCTGGTCCCG